AAGTAACTACTTTTGCCGTAGCTTCATCCGTCAGCTGCCTTATTGTACACAAGGCGTACGATGCCAAACAATCTACCAGCTAAAGATTTTATATGGGGTCCCCATTGAAGCTTAGAATCTATAGCAATGCCTAAAAACACTGTGTCGTCTACGAAATCTAACGTATTACTATCTAGTACTATATTACAATCTAACTTCCTAACATTTGGAAGGGTAAAATTAATAGATTTAGTTTTCTTTGCGTTGAGTACCAAATTATTAGCAGTAAACGAGGTGTGGATAAACTGAAGAGCATCATTTACATCGTTAAGTTTGTCGTCTTTTCCATCAACTTTAAATATTAAAGATGTGTCATCAGCAAACAATACAATTCTAGTCAAATCTTGAATCGTAAACGGCAGATCATTTATAAATACTAAAAACAAAAAAGGACCAAATATTGATCCTTGCGGTACTCCCATCTTAACTTGTGAACCCAACGACCTAGCCCCATTTACTTCTACTTTCTGAATCCTGTCCTCCGAATAGGAACGGATCATTTCCAAACTAACATTTCTAAATCCATAATGTTTAAATTTAATCAATAAGGTAGCATGATCCACGCAATCAAAGGCTTTTGATAGATCACAAAAAATGCTTACCGCATTTCGAGAGTCTTCCCAAGCATCGAAAAGATCTTGATTAAACTGACACCCGCATCAGTGGTACTACGCCCTTTGGTAAAGCTATATTGGTGATTATGGAATATATTGTTATTGCAAAAATGAGACAGCATTTGATCTAGCATAATCTTTTCAAACACCTTACTGAACACTGGAAGGACAGAAACAGGTCTGTAATTATTAGTATAATTTTTTTCGCTTGATTTCAACAGTGGTGTAACTTTACTACGTTTCATTAAGTCTGGAAATATACCTTGCTCGATACAAGAATTAAATAAATTAACCAGTAAAGGTGCCACGATTATGCTAACTACTCAAACTGACATACCAAATAGATCTTCCGTATTTTTATGATTAATTTTCAAAAGTTTTAAGTACAGTCGAAGGAACTATTTCTTGTAATTTAAATTCAATATTGCATGCACTCAAGTATATCTCTATAAAGACTTTAATATTTTCTGCAGATGAATCTAAAACCTGTGTTTTTTTAATTGGAACATCCGTGAAAAACTGTTTAAAAAGTTGTGCCACTTCACTATTTGATGTTAATAAACTCTTGTCTGTTTGCATACTCATGGTCATGTAACTTGTTTATTTTACTTATTTAACAATTAATAATATTCCAAACGGCTTTTATTTTATTTAAAGAGTTTAAAATATTTTCTTTAATATGTTTTGATTTGAAGTCGTTATTGTAAAGTATTTCTTCATACAGTTCAAATATCGTTTATGTTCAAATATCCGTGTTCCAAATTCCGTAGCTTACCTTTGATTGGTGATCGACTCAACCTTTAGAAGACTATGACTTATATTTAGTTATACGTACTGTAAGTGTAAGTTATTCTAAATAAATAATAAAAAAAACATTAGCATAGCAGCTATGAGTGCTTCAATGAGATGTGAGTGAGTCAATTGTCCGCGAATGCATGAGCAACCTAATCGAGTGCAAGACTTTAAGGATACTATGCTATTTCAACAATATAATTGCTTTATGTTTAGAGAATTGGAACAATTCGACGAGGAGCTGGCTAGGTATAGAGCAAGCAGACAAGGCAAAGCTGCCATACCGTATGACGATTTTCCTCGGCATGCTCAGGTGATATTTTACTAAATTCTTAGTCCTTTCAAGCTTCGTTTCGTTCTAATGATTTTGTTTCATTTCTGTACTAGGTTAACGAGTATATTGAATCGATTGCACAGAGGTATCCAGACATTGTCACTTTAGTCACCGCAGGAAACAGTTATGACGGACGACCGATTAAGTATTTGAAAGTACGTACGGATTTATTATTTCAAAGTTTAGGAAACGTTATAGTAACCATTTGAATAAATGAACGAATGAAATGCTCTTTATTGCTAAGTGGTATCTGTGTGTAAGGACTTATTGATATAAGCTAGGTTATGGTAATATTAGTAAAATAAATTCAGTTAAATCGCAATGTAAACGCTTTAATAATAATGGATATTCAAAATCTGCCATTTACGAGGATTAAAACTATAGTGAGCAAAAACTCTACACTAAAGGTTATTAGTTATTATATAGCTTCTTCGTAATTGCATGACAAAAATCCATGGTAGTGACCCGTTTAATTTTTGCGGGTTGTATTTTGACCTATCATATTTGAAATAAATATTGTAAATGATAAATGTATACAAATGTTGCTTTTTGTATATACCAAGTGACGGAACAAACAAGTCGTGCGCCTGGTGGTAAACGTGGCACGCCTATCCATAACAGTGCTATTCAGAGTTTTAAATCGCAAAGATCTTATGGACACTCCCACTGTGCCCGTCACCCTGGGACATTCAAGTCAAAGCAAAAGAACAACCCCTAGAGTTTCTTCTCAAGGGAATCTGCCTTACGAATGAGTAGTTTAATCAATGTAATTTGCTCACGCATAAAATAAAGATTATTTGAGTTTAAGTTTGAAACAATAACTGAGACCCTTAATGTTTGTACCGTAAGTCCACGTAGTTTTTGAAATATTCTGTTGAGTGTTGCGTTTCGTTCTGTGTAATTCTTATGACAAGGGTCATATTGTGAATGTAATATCTCTTTTTTTTCTAATATTCAAAACTTGGGTTACATCGACTTTTCTATAGCACATTACCTTATAAACAACTTAGCTATAACATTGTCATTCCGCAGATATCAACAACAAACTTTGAGGACCCTTCGAAACCAATCTACTTCATGGACGCAATGATCCACGCTCGTGAATGGGTCACCACTCCAGTCACCCTCTACGCCATTCACCGCCTAGTTGAGGATCTGCGAAACGAAGACCGCGATCTGTTAGAAAACATTGATTGGATCATATATCCGATGGTGAACCCTGATGGATATGAGTACAGCCATGACTCTGTAAGTACTATTGTGTTATTTGGCAACGAGGAGATACGGTTACTTAGTGGTGACCAGGAGCAAGGACATGTAATTTGTCCCCTAAATTAGACCGATCATCGAGTTATAAGATAATGATTGCATAAGATAGTAAGGACACGTTTTCTATTAAATCAGTCTTCGTTCACCAATTGATCATAATAATATTGATGATTTTTATAGAGACAGATTGCAAGCTTACGAAGGTACTAGAATAATTTATAAAATTTATTTATTTTTACAAAGAGTACAATTATTTTCAAAGAAACGAATAAGATTGAAGATAAAGTCGCAAAAATAATAAGCAATTTCATCCAAAGCCGACATTTTGATGATTTATGAACGAAACTTATTCTAACTTGACTCAACTTGTTCCGAACAAGTTATAATAAGTTGTTAAAGTGAGATTTAAGTTGGTGTTGTTTCCTTAATAACCAGGTATTTAGTTGGATCTAAAAAAAGTAAACGTTTAGCTACACGATAGTAGTTAAGTAAAATAGTTTTCATTAAAAACTAATTAAGTTATTAACACGTAGCATATACGTGTGTTGGTTTGTAACACTTACGAAGCCTCTTCACCTTTCGTTGTATTTTCCGTCGGTAGGTAAGGTCTGATATAAGGGTAGAAATAAAAGCAATACGCAATGTGGGAGACAAAGCACACACGATACGTGTGTAAGCGGCGATGACCATATGATTTTTGCATAACGGCAATTTAGGCAGAAACTATTTAGGGACTGGTGAGGGGTTTATTGATCTAAGGGTAGACGAGAGTGACGCAGTCGTGACTGCACATTATAAAAAGTCGTCGCCTGCGTGTGTCCGTCTATGCGTACATTTTTATTTGATATAAATTAGTATGTTTACAGAATTAATCTATAAAACAATTGTATTAAAATATTGATTCAATATAAAAAAGAAACATTTACATGATTTTAGAAGCTTGCTACATCTGTATTATATTTTAATGAAATCAAGAAGGCAAATTCAATTATTAATTGAATTCAAATTTTATTAACAAACGTTATGGTATCACAATACATTAAAATCATTATAAAGATTGCTACGATTCTAAGTTAAAAAAAATCAAAGGTGCGTATGCGTGTTACGTTTTAATTTTATTTCATTTGGTAATAAGATAGAAAAATGTCCGTTCGGTTAGACTACACCTTCTAATACAGATTTTGTGAAAATAATTTTAACATCCTCCAGGAGCGTCTTTGGCGTCGTACGCGCTCCACCAATCCAGTTGATCCCTCCACGTGCCTCGGCGTGGACGGCAACCGCAACTTCGATATCGCCTTCAACACCGTCGGCGTCTCCAGCAACCCATGCTCTACTACCTACCCTGGAGTCACCCCCTTCTCAGATGTTGAGACTGTGTACATCAGGGATATTTTACACGCAAATCTAGACCGGATTCAATTATATATGAATATTCACAGCCATGGCAATTGGATTCTTTATGGATATGGATTTAATGAAACTCTTCCACCGAATGCAGCGCAGGTGAATCGTAATAAACATGACATAATTTGTATTTACACATGACTTTCGACTAGGGAATTTATAAAATATAAGTAAGAAAATTAATTTTGAGAATTTTCTTCATCAGTTGTGCTAGGAACAAATTATATTATTTCTAAAAAAGTAAATAATAAGCTAGCTAGAGAATCACAACTATTAAAAAAGTTCCAGATTTGGTCCTAATGAAAACCGAACCCTGATCTTTTTCTTTTAAAAGTAACCTTTTAAATCCGACCTGATTTACCTGTTTCGCAGCTGCATTTATGTAAAACAAGTAAGTTACAGATCCATCACGTGGGAGCGACGATGGGCGCTACCATCGACGCTCTAAAACTGGATCTGGCGCCCTTCTACCGCGTTGGCAACAGCGCTTTCTTGCTATACGCCACATCGGGGTCTGCGCAGGATTACGCTCAGGTACATACTTCATATTCGCCAGATGATTTCAGATCGATCCCCAAATTTCTGTCACGAATTGACCATTCGAAAGTATTTCTCTTTTAGGCTCGTCATTAATTATTAAAACTTATTCGTATTGAGTATAACGACGTAGAGCTACAAATTTCGAGAATTTTAAATCACCTCTCTCGAGGATTTTTAGCGTATCTTAAAGCATATTTTGCTACATAAACCGATGCAGACTAAATATTCAAGTGAATAGAATGAAAATAACGAATTACAAATAGAAAATTAAACTTTTTTCGGATGTAAACCGCGTACACATGTTTTTTCAAACAAACCAACGTCCGTTTTGCGCGAAGAACTCACGGAGCCATTTTCACTCGCGCCCGTTTTTTTCATGATACTAAGTGGCAGGACGAACAAGTCGTGCGCGTGGTAGCAAGCCGTGTGGCCTGCCCATAACAGTTGCAGTGTTACTGAGAGCTTTAAATCATAAAGATCTGGGGGCACCGCCACTGCGCCCGTCACCCTGATACATAAGTTGGCAAGACCCATGTGCCTGTAATTTCACCAGCACCCTTACCCTTCTAAACCGAAACGCAGTAATGCTCACATTACTGCTTGGTGACAGAAATAGATAAAGTGGTAGTACTTCTCTCAACGAACTCTTTCACAAGGAGCACTACTTACTGCTTGCTGCTTACTGGTTGCGGGAACACGGCCTTCATGGACTGTAGATATGTGTATGTAAAATTTAGCAGCACATTTTGCGACGCACTTTACTCGCGGTAGCTGCAGCGTCCGCGGGATACTAGTAGAACCGTCCGGGATGCGGTCAGCCGCGTGCTTGGCTGATGGATGGCCGTGCACTCTGCAGTCCCGCGACGATCTCTATCGACTGTAAATAACCGCGCGACTTGCGATCATCTTCCGTCAAGTTTGCGGGATGTTCCGCAACCGCGGCGGCTACTTCACCGCAGAAACTTGCGGTGTCGTGAGTATTGAAATAAAACGGCTGCCCCGCAGCCGCGGCTGGCACGGGTGGAAACCGATCCGTGAATTTTTAGCTTTCAGGTTCCATGGTCACAACTGATTATTAAAAGTTATTAGTAATTATCATGGATAAATAATAAATAAATATATAAATATTAGATAACGTAACATACGTTACTCTGATCCCAAAGTAAGTAGCTAACGCACTTGTGTTATGGAAATCGGAAACAACGACGGTACCACAAATACCCATACCCGAGACAATATAGAACAGTTACATTTTTTCTGGCCGGGGATCGAACCCGAGACCTCAGAGATGGCGACACCATGAAAACCGGTGTGCAAACCTCTCGACTACAGAGGTCGTTCTACCGCCGTAGAACTGTCAGTAACATATAACTTTTAAACTTTTTTTCTTATTTCAACGAAAATGAGAACTCTACGTGTAGTTGTTGTCATCGCCGTATAAAGACAGTATTATAATACAATACAAATAGTATTTGCACACAAAAAGTAAATACAGGGAGATACTATTTAAGAAGTCTTATTCTATTAGACTCTACCAAATAATATTATATGTTTTACCATAAGTACAGTCGAGAATAAAACTACGGCAATGAAAAGTATAACTATAAACACAAGGTATAAAATACATAACATAGGGTATAATTTAAACGCCATCTTCATTTGTGACATGTTGTATGTTTCAACACTATATCTAATGAAATAATAATAAAGATATTAATAAATTAAAGCAATAAAATAAAAGCATAATGATAATAAAAGCAAGGACATCGCGTACTTACTGTCTTTATAAAGATTTAGATAAAGCTATCAAAACATTACAAAATTGCTTATTCGTACCTAGTAAAACTATACTCGTAAAAACCTAACCCGACACTTTTAACTCAATGCTACCGCCTACAGCTATTAAGTTTAGAGATTCTGTCATAACAGTAAAAGTTAGTCATCAAAATTTGGACAGATTAACTTCACTTCAGAGCAACGATTCGTCGAAAATTTAGACTAGTTCTCAGGAACTCGAGAATATTACGGCGATGCGAGAGTTTTGAATTGTCATTCAAATAACTTATGATGGGTTCCTACATGGAAGATCAAAAGCAATAAGAGATTTCCAGTTGGTAGACGTTATAAATCTAAATTCTGTTTTAAAATATGTGTATGTGAATAACGTTTACGTGTTATAATAACAAAATAAGCGCGCCTGATAAACCAAGTATTGTAACAGTGCAGTGTCGCACGACAAGCCGCCATACCAAAATATCCATTTCTGTATGAAGGTACACAACTACAGCAGCAGTGAAGAACTAGGCAAATAATAAAAACAGGCACAAGCCTCGACTATACTGCATCTGACTGCAGTATAACACGGATTCACATTTAACGTTTTTTGACTTGGTGGTTTTAGTTCTTTTTAGGTTTGTAGCGGATTTGAGCTATATTTTAATATTTCAACTTAATCCATTTGATAACGCACGCGCGATCTCAAAAATACAGTATGTATTTATTGCTCAACAATTATAAATATATTGACTATAATATTCAGCGCCTTCTATCATATCTTGGTAGCAGCGATAATTGCAAATTCAAGGTGTTAGTCGCATGTACTATACCTGTAAAGACGGCCCTGTGAAATTAACACCGGCGTTTGTAGAGATTTTGTTCAGTCTTTGTGATTGTTACGTTCTCACTGAATTACTTTCAGGCAGACAAGACGTTTTTCTAAGACGAAACATATTTTACTCTTCAAACGTAATATAAGGTATATATGTAGGTAATAGGGTAATAAAAGCCTAAAATTTATTTATTTATAAAAGGACATCCAACAGCATACATTTAGAACTTAAAAAATAATGTTACATGAGCAGTGCATAATGCCAATGAGAGGATATCACAAATGCTTAGAAATATTATGACGCGACATTGTGAGTTTCTCTACAATTATTTATAAAATAAAATTTAAAATTTGAAAAGAACAATTAAAAAATTCATAAAATATTACAGCACAAACCATTTCAAAGAAAAATAACAATATTAATTATATAATTAGTAGTAATAAAAATTAGCTTAAACCTGATGGTGGACAAATTACTCTTCTAATTTGTTACTTAAATGAATGCCTACTATGCGAAAAAATGTCACTATAAGACTTATTGTGCGTGGTTGTAAGGCGAGAAACGATCTCGTTCTGGCCATAGTTAGTACGACTAGGTGGAACGTAGAAAACCTTATGAATTGAGCTACGGGTTTGACGATAGGGCACAACAAGGCGAAACAGTGATACGAGGGAAGGGCAGTCAAGGCGAGCATTAACAACATCATGTAGAAAAGTCATATCAAGAAGTTGTCTTCTATCAGAAAGACTGTGTAGATTTAAATAATTGCAGGCTTCCTCGTATGTGGCAAACTTTTTCCTACTCTTAAAACTAAGAAATTTAATAAACATTTTTTGTATGCGCTCAATGTTCTTATTATACAAAGCATATCGGGGCGACCAGATGACACTGCCAAACTCCAAAATACTACGAACGAATGCATAATAAACCATTTTTAGAGTCTATAAAAACGCTCGCATACGCGTTTCACAAACCCCAGGTTACCGTAAGCTCTATTAACTACAGTAGCCATATGTTTGTCGTACGTCATTTTGCTATCTAAGGTTACACCGAGGTCCCGTACCTCATTAGATGTTTGCAAAATATAATTTCTGGACCTTATTTTTAGTTACAAATTAAAGCAATCATCATAGATTGTTACATAATTATTTCTAGCAATTCTGTTTTTGTGCCTATTCAAAAGTTCATACATAATGAATGGATGCACAAGATGTACGAATTTAGACGACGTAATGTTTTTTCAGTCAAGTTTATTCAATTGTATTCATTTCAAGAAACTATATTAAAGACGTGTGATTAGTTAGTTAGAATTTTTGCTGTATTCTACTTGGAACTATATTCTCTCTATCTTGATTTACAGTCGATTGGCGTGCCTTTCTCCTACACCCTGGAGCTGCCTGGCTACGGCTTCCTGTTCGAAGCCCCGCCACAGTTCATTGGGCAGATCAACGCCGAGACCTGGGAAGGAATTGCCGCCTCCGCGAGACTCGCCAGGCTCTATTACAGAGCTCGGATCAATAACTGATTCATATTCTCTAGTCTTACTCCCTGAAAAGTTGCCATTTTGATATTAGGCACTTGTGAAATTATACCCATTAATTTAATTAATGTAAATAAAGATTTTGTACACAAAACGTTCTAAAACTCTATTTGTATAACCCAATACAATACACTATCTTATCAGGATTGTAGTGGTCGTAACCTAGCGGTTGCTTCGTAATTGAGAGGTCGACGGTTCAAATCCCTGGCAATGGCAATATATACTACTGCTTAAGACTTTAATACGTATATTTGTGAATGTTTAGTAGCTTTTTGTGATGGAGAAACTGTCGGAAAAGACTTCTAACCCTTGGAAGACATGCAAGTCCCCAGCGGACATTGGTTCGCGTAGTGGATTATTTGCTAAACTCTGCGCTAAGAGAAGCTACCGCTACCATTCGATGTCAGTTATGCGCTATGGTAGTGTAATGTGCAATGAAACTAGCGCTTGTTGATTACGCTAATCCACTGTACGCCAAAGTGTCTGCCGGTCAATATCATTCCTAGCTATGGGGAAAAAGGACCGCAAATTTGAATGCTATATATAATTTTAATAATATATAGTACGCTATATATAATATTACTATTAAAGCTCGAAGTACCAAAGTGTACAACGACAGGTACAAAACTAAAACTCGTAGGACCAATATAAATAAATAAATAAACAAATAAATAAATAAATAAATAACGCACACACTCAACATAGCTCCGCACTAGGGAAACCCTGTGTCGCGGGTGCCACGGACACACACATAGACAACCACAAATTACATCCAAACTCATGAGAGAAATAAATGTAGGCCATACAAATATTTCTCCCGGCCCGGGAATCGAACCTGGGACCTCTGCGTGGCAGTCCGGCATGGTAACCGTTCGGCCACGGAGGCAGTTGAATATAATTATTTAATTGAATATAATATGAGCGTGCGGTTAGGTATTAATGTGGTGGTAGCGCTCTTGTCTGTCAATGTAGTGTGTGGTGTTATACGCAGCAAATACCAACCTCCTGCTGTACATGAAATTACGGTAAGGTCAAGATAAAAATAAACTACCCTATTAAACCTAGCGGTGAGACCTCCAGGGTCGTGCCTATGAATTTATCTAATAGTATAGCCCTACAACATAACGGTGTGTAGCCTAACCTAACCATAAATATACAGACGGAGAAATATATATGCAAGACATGAACGGGAAGTCTGTGACCAGGAGACCTAAGGTAACAAACGGAAGGTAGTAAGGAAGTACACGTCGTGCAATGTGTACTGGAATGGTATTCTAATTGCCGGTTAAGCAAACTCACAAGACTTATTCTACTGACGGCTAAGGAAGCCTTGGCCACAGTGAGAGGAGTAGCGGGTAGTACTAAGCAGGATGATGAGTTGGATGACTTAAAATCACATGGTAGTGGCCAACTGAGCATATTTACAATTCTTATTACTATTTATACAATTTTTATAATTAATAATTATAATAGATTTTTCTTGGTGTGCTATGTGTGTTGGTTGCCGAGGAAGCTCTTTCTGTTAAGTAGTTAATTATGTTACTATGTTGCACTTATTGCCTGATGATGAGGTCTTTTTTTGTGACAGTTTAAATGTATGTCACGATCTTGCGTTTTATTGTTAAATACATGATGTTCAAAGTTGAACAGCCCGCCCACCAGCGTGACGGTAAATAGTCAGCGATGATGATGATTAATACCCAGATTAACCAACAAATCTGTGATGCGAATAATCGCGCTAACGTGTACGCTAGTTAAAGGAACTTCTTAAGTATCACAATAGCCAGATTATTAGCGAAAAGGAAAAGCGATGACTCTAATTATTATAGTTATAATTAATGTTTTTTTGTTGGCACAATCATAATTATTTTCGAATCACCTAATGACATAATAACTAACCGCTCACACGATGCGCTCCTCCTACCGCAAAATGGCGGCTATTTGGTTTCGCAAATTAGAAAAGCATTCAGTTTAAATACTACTTTTTATAAATAAAAATTATTATTCTGCATTGCTAAATAAATACCCTCCGTACTACCAACAGAAACATCTCAAATAAAATGCAGTAATACACCGCAAATCCTGCAATTAAAAAGCACTTATGAAATTTTTGGTGTACTTGGATAAATATGATAATATTCCGTTTGAGTGGTTCTAACGTTTACCATGAAATACTCCTTAAAGTATAGTTTATAAACATTTATATTCAAGGTAAACTTTAAAAACGCTACTTACGGTATGTTTTCAATAAATAAACACCGAAATCACCAGCCCAAACAATAACACACACGATTGTCGTGACGTATATTTGAAGTTGTTTATTTTTTTTAAATGACAGACTCAGGCATTAAAAACTTTATGGTTTGCTAGAGTAGTTACGAAGTAGCAATTAATATTAGTTCTTTTACCTGTTATAACTTCGATATCCGATAAATCGGTATAAAATCATCACCGGCACCTCTAGGTGTGGTATGCGTCTACGGCTGCATGTATCGCGTGAACGGCTAATGTAAAGATGATGTCAAAAACATATGCCTATTTATATAAAAATAACATAAGAACATTTCACCAAGACTTGGCTGTGTGCTTTCAAACCTTTGTTTGCCTTTTCCTTTACGAAAAGAATGAAAAAAAAACAGTACCTAAAATCCGATGGGTTTCGTAATTGTCAGTGATTTCATTTCAAAGGAAGCTTTGTCAGCTCTTGATTTAAATGTGAAAAATTATATACTGACAGGTTTATAATATTATCGTTAAAAACGAAACGTGTTATTATTTTAAAAACTTTCGACTTGATCATCGCTTGATATCGACAAAATGACAAACATTACAAAAGAAATACAACATTACTCATCACACTACCACTGCTACATTGTTGCTTTTCATTAATTGTCACGTAGAGAACGACAAGAACCAACGTGGCGAGAAGAGGGAACATTGTATAAAATCTCATTTGGCTCTGGTTACGCGACTAAATTGAATCCTCTATTCGATTAAAATACGTATATTCTCAATGGTTACAGATAATAGCCACTTAATAAAAAGCAACGTTGCCGTTCTTTGCTGGATAATCATTTACCTGTATTCCATCTATATAGTGTCTGTACACATTGTGCCACTTCGAATACCATTGCTTATTTTATAGGTTGCTATTTGTTCAAAACTCATAGTAACTAAGTAATGTACACTAAGTATAACAATGCAGTGTATTTGTGCGGTGAAGTCTGGCCCGTATCAAAACAGGTTTTAAAATCGAATGTAATGTCGTGTTCGAAATACGAGTGCGGTTGAAGTTGGAACTAAATGACAATTGATATTAAATATCACCTCCCCTCTCTCCGCTTCCTTGCACCTTGCCCTTAACGACGCCATTTTGAAATGCGAGTTTGACGTTTGACGTTCTGTTTTGACAATTTGTCTTATTCATTTACAAGAACTAGTGAGTTAAACTTGTGCCAATTACTAATGTTTACGTTTTTTTGCTACATGTGTTTATTTTCATAGTGTTTGCACGTTGTAGTTTTTATAATGGTTTTCTCGGAGATGTTTCAATTTGTAGCGACGTTTGGGGTATCAGCTGTGAGTATTTTTATATTCTTTTACAATGCGTATGCGCAAGTATCGTGACGCTCGGCTACTGTTTAGATAGTGATATGACAATGAAGCTTGATATTGGAGAATTGGCTTCCTCTGACGTCTTAACGTTTAATTTCATTGAAAACTGTATTGAGATGTTATAGCGTAGATAATTAGTTTTCTCTTTATCATGCATACATACCATTACGCTTACCACCCACCGGGGTTTCTCCACTCGAGTTAGTCTTTTCATACACGTTTTAATTTTGGGACTTTTTAACTTGGCCTTTTCAAGGACATCCTCAATCTGATTGATATATCGTACATGAGACCAAATGCTGCCGTAACCAAAAGTAACGGAATTGAGAAAATATTCAAAAAATTTTTGAATGGAGCCAATAAATTTGTATTCTCGTTTATAAGTGTCTCGTGTGATCCGCTTATTTACAATAACATTCAGATAATACGACAGACAGACGATGTATTCATTCTGTGCACTGTTTAGGTTCTCGGGTTTCTCTCAGAGAAAACTTTAAGAGAACTGATGTCATGATGTCATTTATTTTGTATGCCCGTAAAAATACACATAATTTCATTAAGAAAGAAGGTACACATCATGTTAACCTTAGAAGTAAGTACTACGTGATACCACTATATCGTTTAATTAAGGTAAACGATTCTTCTACGAGGAACTGTATTTTTACAATAACATTCCGGAGCATTTACTAAGATTATCATTACCTAAGTTTAAGACCTACATTAGAAATATTTTTCACCTCACTAGCTCGTAAAGGCTTTCTTTCTCATTAGAAATCTGCGCGCAAAAGCGTTTTTTGCACGCTAGCGTGGAAAAGGTTTTTGAATTTTGAACTTGACGATGGACTGTGGTGCACCTAACTTATTCTTTCGATGAAAAAAAGCATAAAGACACGTTCAACTACGCGATTTGTCGTACATTACTAAATCTCTTCAAAAATCTTAGCATCCTTCGCTTGGTTTCAATACAAGCAATCGCGACAAACAACAACTTTGCAGCCTTGTATAACAAATAACTATTAATTGGAAAGTCATATTACAAAATTGAAGACTATGTGTTAGATAAAGATCTATGGAAAGACGACATGGCTCCAGAATCCACACAAATTTGATACAAAGTGTATTCCATAGCATTTAAGTTTATTTGAAAAGAGCAATCCCTAGAGTTTCTTGCTCGTTGTTCTCAGGGAAGTCAGCGTGGTGAACGACCAGTAAGCTTAAGAAATGACGTTCTGAAATGCAATTTTTTTACCTATGGAATAAACGATTCTTTGACATTGATTAATTTCGCACTTTTTTAAATTTTCAAATAGTGTTTTCTCAATTCCGTTATTTTTGAGTAACGACAGTATTTAGTGTCATGCGCGATATGTGCCGTAATAAATGACATTTCACCGTGAAACCAAGAATATACACGATACTTCAGCTAGTCAGTCTAGGCTCTGATGCCTAGATGTTACCGAAGTGCGCCACGAGGTCGCTCT